GAATACATGCAGGACTATGCGCACGAAAAAGGACAATACACAGATGCGGGGCTATGCACACATAAAGAACATACGTGTGGAGCTGTGCACACAAGTAAAAACTCCCTCATATCAACAGGTTGACTTGATAAAATAGATAGTATAGTATTCAGTGTTTTTTCATCTTTTCTAGATTTTATTTTGAAAAGTATTATAATAAATAAAATGTGGAGGTTAGTTTCAATTTTCGCTTTATTGGTTCTGGCACTAGATCGCATTCCGGCATTCTAACAGTACTTGTCCCGCGCTCAGATTAGTTGTGCTCATCGTTCTCGCTTCGTCCTCGTGGAATCCATATCCACTGTCAAAGGAGATGCTTTCGAGCCTAGTTGAGAGCTATCGACTGGATGTATGCCTCGACGTAGTCTGATATACCATTCTCCTTCACACAGCATTTGTAGAAGTCCTTTACAATCCCATCCCAAGTCATGATAAACAAAATTATTTTGGTCCTGCACTTCATCTCTGATCAAGCTTATTAGCAAATAGGTCATATTTTCTCTTTTTCTCGGTCTCGACTGCTGTTAATCAGGAATACTTTCAGACCATATTTCTTGCAGCCCAAGTGCATGCATCGGATTTTCTGCGAGGTTGTACCTAGTCTTTAGATAGGTACAATAATTGCCAATAACGTGTTATAAGTTTTCTTCTGCTCAGAATCGCTGCCCTTGCTCCAAGTATGAGCAGGTCTACTGCTCCAAGTGTGAGTGGGTCTACGCTCTTTGTTTTCCGCGTTCACCTTATCTGGTTTATCTCACGTCCCTGTGCTTCTTGCATCAGCTTTAGATATTTTTACTTTACATCTAGACAAACCTTAGACTCGTGTAGCGTATTTTCCCGAAGTGCATATCTTGTGAATTGACACTTTTCGTAGACTCCTCCAAAAACTTTCTGTGAGCACTGACGACCTGCAATACTGGTGATCACAGAATTCGCTAGCTTCTTCAGTTCTTCGAGGATAATAGCACACGAAAACTTCTCGCTATACAATTACCGACACAATTGCCATCCCCCTCTCGTCATTCTTCCAAATCGCTCAAGGACCGCTTTGAGCATTAGCATTCATAATCATATCCTGGCCACTTGGTTAGTGGGATATGAATTCCAAGGACGATTGTTTGAAGCGTGATCATTCTACTGGTACCAGATTTCGGTACACTGGCAGTACCTTCTTTTACACTTTCTACATAGCTTTTCCCAACTGCATCTGTTTTTGCGTTGTTTTCACTCATGGTTCCAGATGCGGACTTTTTCGTTTTAGCCTCCATTTTATGTTTGTTAACAGCCAACCGCTCAGCTAACAGCCAACCGCTCAGCACCTCAGCAAAACCGCGAATTTCAAAAAAAAAGTATTAAATGTATTTA